CTTTGCTCGTCTGAAAACTACGCGCACGCTGCTTTTAAGGCGTCCCAATTCGTTAATTGAAGAAGTTGAATCACGTAGAGAGACATTCTAAGCCTTTTCAAGCTGATGACAATTACTCGAAAAAGTTCCACATATGGCTGTGTGAGTGAAAAGCGCGGTTTTATTGAAACACAGATAAGAGATCTGTGTTCCGATGTTATTTTTTTTTCCATCGTAAAAATATTAGGCTCTATCAGACGGGCACGAATAAAATTAGAATATAAAAGATAACAATCAAGAACGTCCCGGACTACGTGGCGAGGGATTTCGACGCCTGGAAAATTCTTCGTGCGATTTTATAGGAGACCAAGAAGATGGATCTCGAGGATATAGTTGCGTATCAAAAGTGGCCAAGCATCTCTCCGATTTATGTCACGTAAGAGTCTCTCGTAAACTATGTATATCGCATATACAAACGACAACGCGCTGAGATAAATCGAGTAAGTATAGTCGTAACGAAAGTAGTAAATAAAAGGACTTCGTTCAAGCAGATGTTAGCGTTATGATAAAATTACGTCGATGAACCTTGTAGAGCCTGTTTCTAATCGTTATTTAAATTTATCCTCGCTTATATTTTGAAACAAATATAGAACAAAACTCGTTGCGACTCAGCGTGCAGCAATTAATCTCTTAACTATGCGCACGCAAGCCCGATCGCGAATTTCATGTTCCATTCGATTCGCGGCCGTAAATTCGCGTCTTTCTCGCGGTTACGGAACGACCTATCGAGAACTATCTGTACATCGATAAACCCTATCACAATTGACTCCGCCGCAGATGGTATTTAAGCGCCGGTGTGTGTTGCCGGTCGCCGGTCCGTATCTACACTGCGTCTCCGTCTATTTGTCTCGTCGTACGACACAACGAACTCGACCGGAATTTCCCGTCTGCACAGTCGGAATGTAACGTCGCACGATAAAGGCACTCGGGGTATGACACCCTCGCAAAAGTCGTAGACTCGCCCCCGGGGGACAATGCTCGGACCCGCCGTCTCTCCCTTTGGTGCGCGGCACTCGGCACACACAGTGTGTGTGTGTGTGTGTGTGTGTGTGTGTGTGTGTGTGTGTGTGTGTGTGTGCGCGCGCGCGCGCGCGTGCGTGCGTGTGTGTGTGTGTCGTCTCTCTCTCTCTCTCTCTCTCTCTCTCTCTCTCTCTCTGTGTGTGTGTGTGTTGGGGGGGGGGGGTGTCGGTGGTCCCCCATGTCACCGAAATGTGTCGGAAAATGGAATTTCTACGAAGGAACTCTGTGCACGTCTCCTATGTGAAGTGACGCGGTCCGGATAACATCGCCAACATATACAAATAGACACATTTGAAAGATACATGCGAATGATATCGCATGCAAAAGTAATGCCACACTATATCGAGATCATTGACACTATCAAGACACTGGGATACGTCAGGGTTCATTGCATCCCGTCGAATCCGCGTGCGTGATAGAAATTCGCAAATTCTTCATTCGTATCTCGCATTTCGATATTCACCATGTTTGCGAGCATAAAATTTGCTCATTCGATAAATAAAAATTCTGGAAGCATTAACCCGATATATAAAGAAAGATGATATGATAGATGTTACATATTTTCTGCAAAAATATCTTTTGATATTAAACAAAGTAAATGAAAAAAATGTCAAATGTATAAGAAATATTAAATGAAATATTAAATAAAAACAATATAAATGAAAAATAAAGTGTATTTTATTTTCTTGTTTCATATATTTTTTATCTAGCTTTGATTATTATGTATATTTCTCTTTTCCATATTTTTATGTTTTTCCGGCAGAAAGTAATCACCGTGAATATGAAGTTTTTACGATGTTTTTTATTATTTTTATCATAAATGATATAAACCTTAAAATATGAACAAAGCGTGGATTCTTTAACTCATTTCGATATGCAGAATTATGCAGATAAATGAAGCAGACATGCAATTTTAATATGTATAATTATACATGCCATTGCCAGAGTATGTAACGGGACTAATGTGAAACGTCTCTACTTCAGTTTTAAAATAAAAACAGATCAAAGAGACGGTTCACTCAAATTTGCACGCATGAGAGATTTTTCCAACTTCGTCAGAAATCGTGAAAGAACGCGAAGAACACGAGTTCCCCCTTTGGATTCCGTCTCTCTCAAATGTAATTACTCGCGAAGGGAAACTTCTCGACGCGATAAGCCGTCCCTTAAATCCGTACGCGGAAGATCGCGGAAACGTATTTGCGAGTGTTACGGACGAACAGCCGCCTGTATATCGAAAATTACGTGCACGCGTTAATACACTTCGCCACTTTAATTAGGGCTAATTAAATATTTCTACGGGGAGGGGGACGGGCGAAAGAGCATTTCGTCCGTTAATCGAGCGGCGGACATTCGAGGCCCCGCCACCGCAGGCAAGTGTCGACCGAGCCACCCTCGCTTTGAACCCCCGTAATCGACGCGTTCGCAGTAATGATCTCGCGGTTAACGCTAATGCGCGGCAGACGATGAACTTATTTCGCGTGTGCCTGAAACTTTCTCTCTCTCTCTCTC